CTTGGACTCTTGATACCTTTCACCATTGTGGGGAAAATGATGATTCAAGAGATGTGGATATCAGGTTTCGGATGGGATGAAGAGCTTGATCCAGATCTGAATCTTAGAACTTTGAAATGGGTAAATGAGGTTAAAGAGTTATGCAATATCAGAGTACACGGTGCTTGAGAATCAAATCTGAAATAGAAAACAAAACATTTCATGTATTTGCAGATGCATCACAAGATGCATATGGGGCAGCAATATATGCAGTCTATACTTACCAGAGTGGGGAAGTGGTCAGTCGTTTAGTTACCTCCAAAAGCAGGGTTGCTCCTCTTCAATCTGTAAGCATTCCAAGAATGGAACTGATGGCGGCAGGCCTTGGGGTGAAATTGTTTGTTGCTTCAGCAAAGGTGTTAGAAATGTCCACTGTCAACACATATTTTTGGTGTGACAGTATGAATGTGTTATGTTGGATAAAAAGCCAGAGTAGAAATTACAAGTCTTTTGTGGCAAATCGTATCATTGGTTATATCCAGGAACACACCAGTCCATATCAGTGGAAATATGTTCCATCTCGGTTAAATCCTGCAGACATACTAACCAGGGGTACATCAGTGAAGAACCTAGCCAGTAGTACATGGCTGACAGGACCAGCATTTCTGAAACTCACAGAAAGTGAATGGCCAGAACAAATAGTTGGATTTCAAAGTGATAGTACTTTAGAAATAAAGAAACTGTCCAGAAAAAGGGAAGTTGTTACACTAATGTCTGAAGGTGAGGATGATGCATGGCGTCTTCATCCATCCAGATATTCTGACTGGAAGAGGTTGACTAGAATATATGCTTGGGTAAGCAGATTTGTTACCAATGCACGTATTGCACCAAAATTACGACACATGGGTAATTTGGAGGTTGACGAAATCGAAGATGCTGAAATGAGAATCATCAGTCAGATGCAACAACAGGAGTTTGCCAAAGAGTTTTCTGCACTGCAAAAAGGAAAACAGCTTCCAAAAGACAGCAAACTCATTGGACTCCAGCCAATAATCGATGAAGAGGGACTAATTAGATGCAGTGGCAGACTGAAATATGCTGACTGCTTGTCTTGGGGAGCACGAGTTCCAATAATCTTGCCTCGTAAGAACTGGGTCACAAGGCTTATTGTGAAACATTACCACGAAGCTGGTAAACATGCAGTAGGTACTAATCAAACTTTAGCTGCTCTATCCTCAAAATACTGGGTCATTGCTGCTCGTGAAGAGATTCGAGCATGGGAGACAGAATGTGCCTTTTGTCGGAGACAAAAAGCTCAACCGATACCTCAGATTATGGCTCCACTTCCAAAGCTGAGTTAGCTATTCGCTGAGAGCATTTACTCATGTTGGAGTGGACTATGCAGGGCCTTTTCTTACTATCCAAGGGAGGTCAAAGAAGAGACAAAAACGATATTTGTGTCTTTTCACGTGTTTGTCAACTAGGGCTGTACATCTGGAAATGTCATATGGTCTCGATAGTGACTCGTTTTTGAATGCTTTCTTTCGCATGACAAATAGACGAGGAATGCCAAAAGAAGTCGTATCCGGTAACGGAACTAACTTTGTAGGTGCTGTGAAGGAATTAAGAGATCTGGTTGAACAACTTGATGCGACTACGAGATCATCCTTGGCAAATAAGGGAGTCGTCTGGAGATTCAACCCTCCTCATGCACCACATTTTGGTGGTGTATTTGAATGCATGATTAAGTCAGCTAAAAGAGCTATATTTGCCATTCTGGGTAAAGGTGATGTCACGGATGAAGTGCTAACAACAGCATTTACTGCCGCAGAAGCACTCATAAATTCTCGTCCCCTCACTTATCAAAGTGCTAACTGCCAAGATGATGTACCGTTAACCCCAAATCATCTTATGCACGGGCAAGTCGGTGGAACATTTGCTCCAGATAGTGTTGATACTACGTCATACAACCCCAGAAAACGATGGAGACGAATACAGGAACTGGTGAGGCACTTCTGGAGGAGATGGTTGAGGGAGCTACCACCAACTCTTCAAGTCAGGAAGAAGTGGAGAGAGGCTAACCGCAATCTGAAGGTAAATGATGTCGTCATCGTAGTTTCACCAGATTCTCCACGTGGAAGCTGGCCTTTGGGGAGAATCATCAACACATATCCAGGCAAGGATGGACATGTTCGAGTGGTACAAGTAAAGATGGGGAAAACTACGCTGATGAGACCTGTGACGAAGGTGTGTCCACTCGAGTGGAATTCGGAGGATGACTTGAGAGAACATTAAGCAGATCAGTCATGTGGAGGTTCAGGCGAGATATGTTCATGCAAGCAGTGGGAGCAGGATCGTTCGTCGTCTGGAGCATGGATCGTCGGCATCAGGAGGATTGAATTCGAAGGATCGTTATGTAAAGGATTGACTTTTGAAGATTCGAATTAGGATACCAAATGACTATTTTAGAGGATCAAGAAACAGGATGTGTTGTTTATTGAAATGTGCATTTTTCATTTTGTGATTCATGATTCATGGATATCAGCAGAACATATGATAGACAGGAGTCTATCATGGAGGGGAAATGGACTGAAGAACAGTTCATGGAATGTCCGAAACACTGTGACCGCGGACACCAGATGAGCATGTTCTCGGATGAGGTTATAGAACAGTTGCGTTTTGGGACGTTCAGTTATCCTATGGATGTTTTGTTTTGTTCTCGGACAATGTGTTGTAAATGCGCGAACACAACGCCTCGCGGAAACGCTACTGCACGAGAATTCCATGAATGAATGTTTGTTATATAAACGTATTTCGTGACACTTCGAGAGTGTGTGTTAATGAGTGTGTTAGAGACTGTGGGTAAGGGTATTAGTGTTAGAATGTTAGATGGTTAGATGGTTGCGTCGAACGAACATCTGTGTGTTGGATGTTGACGCGTTTGAGATGATTTGGTCATAATCGGACCTCAGCAAGGTATTGAAGCTTTCGTACAGTATCTTGCATTCGTTAGTGTATATATAAATTTACAATTGTGGGGAAATAAAATTTGGATTAAATAATTAGAATTTTTGTTTTCATTCCACTGCAAAACACATACAACACAACTTTAGCCAGAGTACTTACACTAGTTACCACAACACACCTGTAGAAACAGTACTTACACTAGTCACCACAACACACCTTTAGCCAGATAAATTACACTAGTTACCACAACACACCTGTCGACACAGTACTTACACTTGTCACCACAACACACCTCTAGCCACAGTACCTACGCTTCCCCCACAAAAAACCTGTAGACACAGTATTTACACTTGTCCCCACAACACAACTGTAGACACAGTATTTACACTTGTCCCCACAACACAACTGTATCCACAGTACCTACACTAGCCCCCACAACACACCTGTAGCCACAGTACTTACACTAGCCACCACAACACACCTGAAGCCACAGTACGTACACTTGTCACCACATCACACCTGTCGACATAGAACTTACACTTGTAACTACAACACACCTCCAGCCACAGTACCTACGCTTGTGACCACAAAACACCTGTAAACACAGTACTAACACTTGTCAACACAACACAACAGTTCCAACAATACTTACACTTGCAACCAGAACACACCTGTCGACACAGTACTTACACTTGCCACCACAACACACCTGTAGACACAGTACTTACAATTGTCACCACGACACACCTGTAGCCACAGTATCTACACTTGTCACCACAACACACCTGTAGCCACAGTACTCACACTAACCCCTACAACACAAATGCAGCAACAGTACTTACACTAGCCACCACAACACAACTGTATCCACAGTACTCACACTTGTCACCACAACACACCTGTCGGAATAGTACTTACACTTGTAACCACAACACACCGCCAGCGACAGTACCTACGCTTGTCACCACAAAACACCAGTAGACGCAGTACTTACACTAGTCACCACAACACACCTGTACCCAGAGTACTTACACTAGTTACCACAACACACCTGTAGACACAGTACTTACACTAGTCACAACAGACCTGTATCCAGAGAACCTACACTAGTTACCACAGCACACCTGTAAACACAGTACTTACACTTGACACCACAACACAACTGTAGCCACAGTACTTACACTAGCCCCCACAACACACCTGTAGCCACAGTACTTACACTAGACACCACAACACACCTGTAGCCATAGTACTTACACTTGTTACCATAACACACCTGTCTACATAGCACTTACTCTCATAACCACAACACACCTCCAGCCACGGTACCTACGCTTGTCACAACAACACACCTGTAGCAACAGTACTCACACTAAACCCTACAACACACCTGTAGCCACAGTACTTACACTAGCCACCACAACACAACTGTATCCACAGTACTCACACTTGTCACCACAACACACCTGTCGGAATAGTACTTACACTTGTAAGCACCACACACCTCCAGCCACACTAGCTACGCTTGTCACCACAAAACAACTGTAGCCACAGTACTTCCACTTATCATCACAAAACAACTGTAGCCACAGTACTTCCACTTGCCACTACAAGACACCTGTAGACACGGTACTTACACTTCTTACCACAACACACATATAGCCACAGTAATTACACTTACTCAAACAACACACCTTTAGCCAGAGTACTTACACTAGTTACCACAACACCCCTGTAGAAACAGTACTTACACTAGTCACCACAACACATCTTTAGCCAGATAAATTACATTAGTTACCACAACACACCTGTAGACACAGTACTTACACTTGTCACCACAACACACCTCTAGCCACAGTACCTACGCTTCCCTCGCAAAAATCCTGTAGACACAGTATTTACACTTGTCAACACAACACACCTGTAGCCACAGTACTTACACTAGCCACCACAACACATCTGAAGCCACAGTACGTTCACTTGTCTCCACAACACACCTGGCGACATAGAACTTACACTTGTAACTACAACACACCTCCAGCCACAGTACCTACGCTTGTGACCACAAAACACCTGTAAACACAGTACTAACACTTGTCAACACAACACAACAGTAGCCACAGTACTTACACTTGCAACCAGAACACACCTGTAGCCACAGTACTTACACTTGTCACTACAACTCACCCGTAGACACAGTACTTACACTTCATACCCCAACACACCTATAGCCACAGTACTTACACTTGCCACCACAACACACCTGTAGACACAGTACTTACAATTGTCACCAAGACACACCTGTAGCCACAGTATCTACACTTGGCACCACAACACACCTGTAGCCACAGTACTCACACTAACCCCTACAACACAAATGTAGCAACAGTACTTAAACTAGCCACCACAACACAACTGTATCCAAAGTACTCACACTTGTCACCACAACACATCTGTCGGAATAGTACTTACACTTGTAAGCACAACATACCTCCAGCCACAGTAGCTACACTTGTCACCACAAAACACCTGTAGACACAGTACTTACACTTGTCACCACAACACAACTGTAGCCACAGTACTTACACTAGCCCCTACAACACACCTGTAGTCACAGTACTTACACTAGCCACCACAACACACCTGTAGTCATAGTACTTACACTTGTCTCCACAACACACCTGTCGACATAGTACTTACACTTGTTACCACAACACACCTCCAGCCACAGTACCTACGCTTGTCACCACAAAACACCTGTAGACACAGTACTTACACTTGTCAACACAAAACAACTGTAGCCACAGTAGTTCCACTTGCCACTACTAGACACCTGTAGACACAGTACTTACACTTGTCACTACAACACACCTGTAGACACAGTACTTACACTTCTTACCACAACACACCTATAGCCACAGTAATTACACTTACTCATACAACACACCTTTAGCCAGAGTACTTACACTAGTTACCACAACACACCTGTAGAAACAGTACTTACACTAGTCACAACACACCTTTAGCCAGAGAACCTACACTAGTTACCACAACACACCTGTAAACACAGTACTTACACTTGACACCACAACACACCTGTAGCCACAGTACTTACACTTGTTACCATAACACACCTGTCTACATAGCACTTACTCTCATAACCACAACACACCTCCAGCCACGGTACCTACGCTTGTCACCACAACACACCTGTAGTCACAGTACTCACACTAACCCCTACAACACACCTGTAGCCACAGTACTTACACTAGCCACCATACCACAACTGTATCCACAGTACTCACACTTGTCACCACAACACACCTTTCGGAATAGTACTCACACTTGTAAGCACAACACACCTCCAGCCACAGTAGCTAAACTTGTCACCACAAAACACCTGTAGACACAGTACTTACACTTGTCACCACAACACATCTTTAGTCAGATAAATTACATTAGTTACCACAACACACCTGACGACACAGTACTTACACTTGTCACCACAACACACCTCCAGCCACAGTACCTACGCTTCCTTCGCAAAAATCCTGTAGACACAGTATTTACACTTGTCACCACAACACAACTGTAGCCACAGTACCTACACTAGCCCCCACAACACACCTGTAGCCACAGTACTTACACTAGCCACCACAACACACCTGAAGCCACAGTACGTACACTTGTCACCACAACACACCTGTAGACACAGTACTTACACCTCTCACCACAACACACCTTTAGCCAGAGTACTTACACTAATTACCACAACACACCTGTAGAAACAGTACTTACACTAGTCACCACAACACATCTTTAGCCAGATAAATTACATTAGTTACCACAACACACCTGACGACACAGTACTTACACTTGTCACCACAACACACCTCTAGCCACAGTACCTACGCTTCCCTCGCTAAAATCCTGTAGACACAGTATTTACACTAATTACCACAACACACCTGTAGAAACAGTACTTACACTAGTCACCACAACACATCTTTAGCCAGATAAATTACATTAGTTACCACAACACACCTGACGACACAGTACTTACACTTGTCACCACAACACACCTGTAGACACAGTACTTACACCTCTCACCACAACACACCTTTAGCCAGAGTACTTACACTAATTACCACAACACACCTGTAGACACAACACTTACACTTGTCACCACAACACACCTCTACTCACAGTACCTACGCTTGCCAGCACAGCACACCTGTAACCACAGTACTAACACTAGCCACTACAACACACCTGTAGACACGGTACTTACACTTCTTACCACAACACACCTGTGACCACAATACTTACACTTACCCTTACAACACACCTGTCGCGACACAGTACTTACACTTGTCACCACAACACAACTCTAGCCACAGTACCTACGCTTCCCTCGCAAACATCCTGTAGACACAGTATTTACACTTGTCACCACAACACAACTGTAGCCACAGTACCTACACTAGCCCCCACAACACACCTGTAGCCACAGTACTTACACTAGCCACCACAACACACCTGAAGCCACAGTACGTACACTTGTCACCACAACACACCTTTCGACACAGTACTTACATTTGTCACCACAACACACCTCCAGCCACAGTACCTACGCTTCCTTCGCAAAAATCCTGTAGACACAGTATTTACACTTGTCACCACAACACAACTGTAGCCACAGTACCTACACTAGCCCCCCACAACACACCTGTAGCCACAGTACTTACACTAGCCACCACAACACACCTGAAGCCACAGTACGTACACTTGTCACCACAACACACCTGTAGACACAGTACTTACACCTCTCACCACAACACACCTTTAGCCAGAGTACTTACACTAATTACCACAACACACCTGTAGAAACAGTACTTACACTTAGTCACCACAACACATCTTTAGCCAGATAAATTACATTAGTTACCACAACACACCTGACGACACAGTACTTACACTTGTCACCACAACACACCTCTAGCCACAGTACCTACGCTTCCCTCGCTAAAATCCTGTAGACACAGTATTTACACTAATTACCACAACACACCTGTAGAAACAGTACTTACACTAGTCACCACAACACATCTTTAGCCAGATAAATTACATTAGTTACCACAACACACCTGACGACACAGTACTTACACTTGTCACCACAACACACCTGTAGACACAGTACTTACACCTCTCACCACAACACACCTTTAGCCAGAGTACTTACACTAATTACCACAACACACCTGTAGACACAACACTTACCCTTGTCACCACAACACACCTCTACTCACAGTACCTACGCTTGCCAGCACAGCACACCTGTAACCACAGTACTAACACTAGCCACTACAACACACCTGTAGACACGGTACTTACACTTCTTACCACAACACACCTGTGACCACAATACTTACACTTACCCTTACAACACACCGTGTCGCGACACAGTACTTACACTTGTCACCACAACACAACTCTAGCCACAGTACCTACGCTTCCCTCGCAAACATCCTGTAGACACAGTATTTACACTTGTCACCACAACACAACTGTAGCCACAGTACCTACACTAGCCCCCACAACACACCTGAAGCCACAGTACGTACACTTGTCACCACAACACACCTGTCGACATAGAACTTACACTTGTAACTACAACACACCTCCAGCCACAGTACCTACGCTTGTGACCACAAAACACCTGTAAACACAGTACTAACACTTGTCAACACAACACAACAGTAGCCACAGTACTTACACTTGCAACAAGAACACACCTGTAGACACAGTACTTACACTTGTCACTACAACACACCTGTAGACACAGTACTTACACTTCATACCCCAACACACCTATAGCCACAGTACTTACACTTGCCACCACAACACACCTGTAGACACAGTACTTACACCTCTCACCACAACACACCTTTAGCCAGAGTACTTACACTAATTACCAGAACACACCTGTAGACACAGTACTTACACTTGTCACCACAACACACCTCTAGCCACAGTACCTACGCTTGCCAGCACAGCACACCTGTAGCCACAGTACTAACACTAGCCACTACAACACACCTGTAGACACGGTACTTACACTTCTTACCACAACACACCTGTGACCACAATACTTATACTTACTCTTACAACACACCTGTCGACACAGTTCTTACACTTGTCACCACAACACACCTCTAGCCACAGTACCTACGCTTCCCTCGCAAAAATCCTGTAGACACAGTATTTACACTTGTCACCACAACACAACTGTAGCCACATTACCTACACTAGCCCCCACAACACAACTGTAGCCACAGTACTTACACTAGCCACCACAACACACCTTTACCCAGAGTACTTACACTAGTTACCATAACACACCTGTAGACACAGTACTTACACTTGTCACCACAACACAACTGTAGCCACAGTACTTACACTAACCACCACAACACACCTGTAGCCACAGTATTTACACTTGTTACCAGAACACACCTGTCGACATTGTACTTACACATGTAACCACAACACACCTCCAGCCACAGTACCTACGCTGGTCACCACAAAACACCTGTAGACACAATACTTACACTAGCCACCACAACACACCTGTAGGCACAGTACTTACACTAGCAACCACAACACACCTGTAGCCATAGTACTTACACTTGTCACCACAACACACCTGTCGACATAGTACTTACACTTGTAACCACAACACACCTCCAGCCACAGTACATACGCTTGTCACCACAAAACACCTGTAAACACAGTACTAACACTTGTCAACACAACACAACAGTAGCCACAGTACTTACACTTGCAACCAGAACACAGCTGTAGACACAGTACTTACACTTCATACCACAACACACCTATAGCCACAGTACTTACACTTGCCACCACAACACACCTGTAGACACAGTACTAACACTAGCCACTACAACACACCTGTCGACATAGTACTTACACTTGCAACCACATCACACCTCCAGCCACAGTACATACGCTTGTCACCACAAAACACCTGTAGACACAGTACTTACACTTTTCAACACAAAACAACTGTAGCCACAGTTCTTCCACTTGCCACTGGAAGACACCTGTCGACACAGTACTTACACTTATCACTACAACACACCTGTAGACACAGTACTTACACTTCTTACCAGAACACACCTATAGCCACAGTAATTACACTTACTCATACAACACACCTGTAGACACAGTACTTACACTAGTCGCCACAACACACCTTTTGCCAGACTACTTACACTAGTCACCACAACACACCTGTAGAAACAGTACTTACACTTGTCACCACAACACACCTTTAGCCAGATAAATTACACTAGTTACCACAACACACCTTTCGACACAGTACTTACATTTGTCACCACAACACACCTCTAGCCACAGTACCTACGCTTCCCCCACAAAATACCTGTAGACACAGTATTTACACCTGTCACCACAACACTACTGTAGCCACAGTACTTACACTAGCCCCCACAACACACCTGTAGGCACAGTACTTACCCTAGCCACCACAACACACCTGAAACCTCAGTACGTACACTTGTCACCACAACACACCTATAGACATAGAACTTACACTTGTAACTACAACACACCTCCAGCCACAGTACCTACGCTTCTGGCCACAAAACACCTGTAAACACAGTACTAACACTTGTCAACACAACACAACAGTAGGCACAGTACTTACACTTGTCACAAGAACACACCTGTAGACACAGTACTTACACTTGTCACTACAACACACCTGTAGACACAGTACTTACACTTCATACCACAACACACGTGTAGACACAGTACCTACACTTCATACCACAACACACCTATAGCAACAGTACTTACACTTGCCACCACAAAACACCTGTAGACGCAGTACTTACACCTATCACCACAATACACCTTTAGCCAGAGTACTTACACTAATTACCACAACACACCTGTAGACACAACACTTACACTTGTCACCACAACACACCTCTACTCACAGTACCTACGCTTGCCAGCACAGCACACCTGTAGCCACAGTACTTACACTAGCAACCTCAACACACCTGTAGACACAGTACTTACACTTCATACCACAACACACCTATAGCCACAGTACTTACACTAGCCCCACAACACACCTATAGCCACAGTACTTACACTTACCACCACAACATTCCTGCAGACACAGTACTTCCGCTCGTCACCACAACACACCTCTAGCCACAGTACTTACACTAGCCCCCACAACACACCTGTAGACACAGTACTTACAATTGTCACCACGACACACCTGTAGCCACAGTATCTACACTTGTCACCACAACACACCTGTAGCCACAGTACTCACACTAACCCCTACAACACAAATGCAGCAGCAGTACTTACACTAGCCACCACAACACAACTGTATCCACAGCACTCACACTTGTCACCACAACACACCTGTCGGAATAGTACTTACACTTGTAACCACAACACACCGCCAGCGACAGTACCTACGCTTGTCACCACAAAACACCAGTAGACGTAGTACTTACACTAGTCACCACAACACACCTGTACCCAGAGTACTTACACTAGATACCACAACACACCTGTAGACACAGTACTTACACTAGTCACAACACACCTTTAGCCAGAGAACCTAAACTAGTTACCACAACACACCTGTACACACAGTACTTACACTTGACACCACAACACAACTGTAGCCACAGTACTTACACTAGCCCCCACAACACACCTGTAGCCACAGTACTTACACTAGACACCACAACACACCTGTAGCCATAGTACTTACACTTGTTACCATAACACACCTGTCTACATAGCACTTACTCTCATAACCACAACACACCTCCAGCCACGGTACCTACGCTTGTCACCACAACACACCTGTAGTCACAGTACTTACACTAGCCACCACACCACAACTGTATCCACAGTACTCACACTTGTCACCACAACACACCTGTCGGAATAGTACTTACACTTGTAAGCACAACATACCTCTAGCCACAGTAGCTACACTTGGCATCACAAAACACCTGTAGACACAGCACTTACACTTGTCACCACAACACAACTGTAGCCACAGTACTTACACTAGCCTCTACAGCACACCTGTAGTCACAGTACTTACACTAGCCACCACAACACACCTGTAGTCATAGTACGTACACTTGTCTCCACAACACACCTGTCGACATAGTACTTACACTTGTAACCAGAACACACCTCCACCCACAGTACCTACGCTTGTCACCACAAAACACCTGTAGACACAGTACTTACACTTGTCATCACAAAACAACTGTAGCCACAGTACTTCCACTTGCCACTACAAGACACCTGTAGACACAGTACTTACACTTGTCACTACAACACACCTGTAGACACAGTACTTACACTTCTTACCACAACACACCTATAGCCACAGTAATTACACTTACTCATACAACACACCTTTAGCCAGAGTACTTACACTAGTTACCACAACACACCTGTAGAAACAGTACTTACACTAGTCACCACAACACATCTTTAGCCAGATAAATTACATTAGTTACCACAACACACCTGTCGACACAGTACTTACACTTGTCACCACAACACAACTCTAGCCACAGTACCTACGGTTCCCTCGCAAAAATCCTGTAGACACAGTATTTACACTTGTCACCACAACACAACTGTAGCCACAGTACCTACACTAGCCCCCACAACACACCTGTAGCCACAGTACTTACACTAGCCACCACAACACACCTGAAGCCACAGTACGTACACTTGTCACCACAACACACCTGTCGACATAGAACTTACACTTGTAACTACAACACACCTCCAGCCACAGTACCTACGCTTATGACCACAAAACACCTGTAAACACAGTACTAACACTTGTCAACACAACACAACAGTAGCCACAGTACTTACACTTGCAACCAGAACACACCTGTAGACACCGTACTTACACTTGTCACTACAACACACCAGTAGACACAGTACTTACACTTCATACCACAACACACCTATAGCCACAGTACTTACACTTGCCACCCCAACACACCTTTAGCCAGAGTCCTTACACTAATTACTACAACACACCTGTAGACACAACACTTACACTTGTCACCAGAACACACCTCTACTCACAGTACCTACGCTTGCCAGCAGAGCACACCTGTAGCAACAGTACTTTCACTAGCAACGACAACACACCTGTAGACACAGTAATTACACTGGTCACCACAACACACCTCTCGACATAGTACTTACACTTGTCACCCGAACACACCTGTCGACATAGTACTTACACATGTAACCACAACACACCTCCAGCCACAGTACCTATGCTTGTCACCACAAAACACCTGTAAACACAACACTTACACTTGTCACCACAACACACCTCTAGCCACAGTACCTACGCTTGCCAGCACAGCACACCTGTAGCCACAGTACTTACACTAGCCACTACAACACACCTGTAGACACGGTACTTACACTCCTTACCACAACACACCTATAGCCACAATACTAACACTTGCCCTTACAACACACCTGTAGACACAGTACTTACACCACTCACCAGAACACACCTTTAGCCAGATTACTTACAATAGTTACCATAACACACATGTGGACACAGTACTTACACTAGTCACCACAACACATCTTTAGCCAGACTACTTACACTAGTTACCACAACACACCTGTAGACACAGTACTCACACTTATCACCACAACACACCTCTAGCCACAGTACCTACGCTTGCCAGCACAGCACACCTGTAGCCACAGTACTAACACTAGCCACTACAACACACCTGTAGACACGGTACTTACACTTCTTACCACACACACACCTGTGACCACAATACTTACACTTACCCTTACAACACACCTGTAGACACAGTACTTACACTACTCACCACAACACACCTTTACCCAGAGTACTTACACTAGTTACCATAACACACCTGTAGACACAGTACTTACACTTGTCACCACAACACAACTGTAGCCACAGTACTTACACTAGCCACACCACAAATACACCTTGTACACACACACACACCTCTAGCCACAGTACTTACACTAACGACCACAACACACCTGTAGCCACAGTATTTACACTTGTTAACAGAACACACCTGTACGACATTGTACCACAAAACACCCTGTAGACACAGTTACACATGTAACCATAGTACTTAACCACAACACACCTCCAGCCACAGTACCCACGCTTGTCACCACAAAACACCTGTAGACACAATACTTACACTAGCCCTTATACACACACCTGTAGGCACAGTACCTAACACTAGCAACCACAACACACATCTGTAGCCATAGTACTTACACTTGTCACCACAACACACCTGTCGACATAGTACTTACACTTGTAACCACAACACACCTCCAGCCACAGTACATACGCTTGTCACCACAAAACACCTGTAGACACAGTACTTACACTTGTCAACACAAAACAACTGTAGCCACAGTACTTGCTTCCACTTGCACACTACTTCTTCCACTTGCCACTACAAGACACCTGTCGACACAGTACTTACACTTGTCACTACAACACACCTGTAGACACAGTACTTACACTTCTTACCAGAACACACCTATAGCCACAGTAATTACACTTACTCATACAACACACCTGTAGACACAGTACTTACACTAGTCGCCACAACACACCTTTAGCCAGACTTCTTACACTAGTCACCACAACACACCTGTAGAAACAGTACTTACACTTGTCACCACAACAAACCTTTAGCCAGATAAATTACACTAGTTACCACAACACACCTTTCGACACAGTACTTACATTTGTCACCACAACACACCTCTAGCCACAGTACCTACGCTTTCCCCTCAAAACACCTGTAGACACAGTATTTACACCTGTCACCACAACACAACTGTAGCCACAGTACTTACACTAGCCCCCACAACACACCTGTAGGCACAGTACTTACACTAGCCACCACAACACACCTGAAACCTCAGTACGTACACTTGTCACCACAACACACCTATAGACATAGAACTTACACTTGTAACTACAACACACTTCCAGCCACAGTACCTACGCTTCTGGCCACAAAACACCTGTAAACACAGTACTAACACTTGTCAATACAACACAACAGTAGGCACAGTACTTACACTTGCCACAAGAACACACCTGTAGACACAGTACTTACACTTGCCACCTCAACACACCTGTAGACACAATACTTACCCTTGTCACTACAAAGCACCTGTAGCCATAGTTCTAACACTTGTCACCACAACACACCTGTAGGCACAGTACTTACACTTGTCACCACAACACACCTGTAGGCACACTACTTACACTTGTCCTCACGATACACCTGTAGACACAGTACTTATATTTGTCACCACAACACACCTGTAGACACGGTACTTACACTTGTCACCACAACCAACCAGTAGACTCAGTACTTCCTCTTCTCACAACAACACACCTATAGCCACAGTACTTACACTTGCAACCAAAACACACCTGTAGACGCAGTACTTACACCTATCACCACAACACACCTTTACCCAGAGTACTTACACTAATTACCACAACACACCTGTAGACACAACACTTACACTTGTCACCACAACACACCTCTACTCACAGTACCTACGCTTGCCAGCACAGCACACCTGTAGCAACAGTACTTTCACTAGCAACCACAACACACCTGTAGACACAGTACTTACACTTGTCACCACAACACACCTCTCGACATAGTACTTACACTTGTCACCCGAACACACCTGTCGACATAGTACTTACACATGTAACCACAACACACCTCCAGCCACAGTACCTATGCTTGTCACCACAAAACACCTGTAAACACAACACTTACACTTGTCACCACAACACACCTCTAGCCACAGTACCTACGCTTGCCAGCACAGCACACCTGTAGCCACAGTACTTACACTAGCCACTACAACACACCTGTAGACACGGTACTTACACTCCTTACCACAACACACCTATAGCCACAATACTAACACTTGCCCTTACAACACACCTGTAGACACAGTACTTACACCACTCACCAGAACACACCTTTAGCCAGATTACTTACAATAGTTACTATAACACACATGTGGACACAGTACTTACACTAGTCACCACAACACATCTTTAGCCAGACTACTTACACTAGTTACCACAACACACCTGTAGACACAGTACTCACACTTATCACCACAACACACCTCTAGCCACAGTACCCACAGTACCTGTAGACGCTTGCCAACCTCACACAGCACACCTGTAGCCACAGTACTAACACTAGCCACTACAACACACCTGTAGACACGGTACTTACACTTCTTACCACACAACACCTGTGACCACAATACTTACACTTACCCTTACAACACACCTGTAGACACAGTACTTACACTACTCACCACAACACACCTTTACCCAGAGTACTTACACTAGTTACCATAACACACCTGTAGACACAGTACTTACACTTCTCACCACAACACAACTGTAGCCACAGTACTTACACTAGGCCCACAACACACCTCTAGCCACAGTACTTACACTAACGACCACAACACACCTGTAGCCACAGTATTTACACTTGTTACCAGAACACACCTGTCGACATTGTACTTACACATGTAACCACAACACACCTCCAGCCACAGTACCTACGCTTGTCACCACAAAACACCTGTAGACACAATACTTACACTAGCCCCCACAACACACCTGTAGGCACAGTACCTACACTAGCAACCACAACACACCTGTAGCCATAGTACTTACACTTGTCACCACAACACACCTGTCGACATAGTACTTACACTTGTAACCACAACACACCTCCAGCCACAGTACATACGCTTGTCACCACAAAACACCTGTAGACACAGTACTTACACTTGTCAACACAAAACAACTGTAGCCACAGTTCTTCCACTTGCCACTACAAGACACCTGTCGACACAGTACTTACACTTGTCACTACAACACACCTGTAGACACAGTACTTACACTTCTTACCAGAACACACCTATAGCCACAGTAATTACACTTACTCATACAACACACCTGTAGACACAGTACTTACACTAGTCGCCACAACACACCTTTAGCCAGACTTCTTACACTAGTCACCACAACACACCTGTAGAAACAGTACTTACACTTGTCACCACAACAAACCTTTAGCCAGATAAATTACACTAGTTACCACAACACACCTTTCGACACAGTACTTACATTTGTCACCACAACACACCTCTAGCCACAGTACCTACGCTTTCCCCTCAAAACACCTGTAGACACAGTATTTACACCTGTCACCACAACACAACTGTAGCCACAGTACTTACACTAGGCCCCACAACACACCTGTAGGCACAGTACTTACACTAGCCACCACAACACACCTGAAACCTCAGTACGTACACTTGTCACCACAACACACCTATAGACATAGAACTTACACTTGTAACTACAACACACTTCCAGCCACAGTACCTACGCTTCTGGCCACAAAACACCTGTAAACACAGTACTAACACTTGTCAATACAACACAACAGTAGGCACAGTACTTACACTTGCCACAAGAACACACCTGTAGACACAGTACTTACACTTGCCACCTCAACACACCTGTAGACACAATACTTACCCTTGTCACTACAAAGCACCTGTAGCCATAGTTCTAACACTTGTCACCACAACACACCTGTAGGCACAGTACTTACACTTGTCACCACAACACACCTGTAGGCACACTACTTACACTTGTCCTCACGATACACCTGTAGACACAGTACTTATATTTGTCACCACAACACACCTGTAGACACGGTACTTACACTTGTCACCACAACCAACCTGTAGACTCAGTACTTCCCCTTCTCACAACAACACACCTATAGCCACAGTACTTACACTTGCAACCAAAACACACCTGTAGACGCAGTACTTACTTATCACCACAACACACCTTTTACCCAGAGTACCTACACTAATTTCACTACCACAACACACCTGTAGACACAACACTTACACTTGTCACCACAACACACCTCTACTCACAGTACCTTACGCTTGCCAGCACAGCACACCTGTAGCAACAGTACTTTCACTAGCAACCACAACACACCTGTAGACACAGTACTTACACTTGTCACCACAACACACCTCTCGACATAGTACTTACACTTGTCACCAGAACACACGTGTCGACGTAGTCTTTACACATGTAACAACAACACACCTCCAGCCACAGAACCTATGCTTGTCACCACAAAACACCTGTAAACACAACACTTACACTTGTCACCACAACACACCTCTAGCCACAGTACCTACGCTTGCCAGCACAGCACACCTGTAGCCACAGTACTTACACTAGCCACTACAACACACCTGTAGACACGGTACTTACACTCCTTACCACAACACACCTATAGCCACAATAATAACACTTGCCCTTACAACACACCTGTAGACACAGTACTTACACTACTCACCAGAACACACCTTTAGCCAGAGTACTTACAATAGTCACCACAACACATCTTTAGCCAAAGAACTTACACTAGTTACCAGAACACGCCTGTAGACACAGTACTTACACTTGTCACCACAACACACCTCTAGCCACAGTACCTACGCTTGCCAGCACAGCACACCTGTAGCCACAGTACTAACACTAGCCACTACAACACACCTTTAGACACGGTACTTACACTTCTTACCACAACACACCTGTGACCACAATACTTACACTTACCCTTACAACACACCTGTAGACACAGTACTTACACTACTCACCGCAACACACCTTTACCCAGAGTACTTACACTAGTTAACATAACACATCTGTAGACACAGTACTTACACTTGTCACCACAACACAACTGTAGCCACAGTACTTACACTAGCCCCACAACACACCTCTAGCCACAGTACTTACACTAACCACCACAATACACCTCTAGCCACAGTATTTACACTTGTTACCAGAACACACCTGTCGACATTGTACTTTCACATGTAACCACAACACACCTCCAGCCACAGTACCTACGCTTGACACCACAAAACACCTGTAGACACAGTACTTACACTAGCCCCCACAACACACCTGTAGGCACAGTACTTACACTAGCATCCACAACACACCTGTAGCCATAGTACTTACACTTGTCACCACAAAACACCTGTCGACATAGTACTTACACTTGTAACCACAACACACCTGTAGACACAGTACTTACACTTATCAACACAAAACAACTGTAGCCACAGTTCTTCCACTTGCCACTACAAGACACCTGTCGACACAGTACTTACACTTGTCACTACAACACACCTGTAGACACAGTACTTACACTTCTTACCAGAACACACCTATAGCCACAGTACTTACACTTACTCATACAACACACCTGTAGACACAGTACTAACACTAGTCGCCACAACACACCTTTAGCCAGACTACTTACACTAGTCACCACAACACACCTGTAGAAACAGTACTTACACTTGTCACCACAACACACCTATAGCCACAGTACCTACGCTTGCGCCCACAAAACACCTGTAGACACAGTACTTACACTTGTCAACACAACACACCTGTGCACACAGTATTTACACTTGCCACCACAACACACCTGTAGCCACAGCACTTAAACTTCTTACCACAACACACCTATAGCCACAGAACTTACACTTGCACTTACAACACACCTGTAGACACAGTACTTACACTAGTCACCACAAAACACCTGTAGACACAGTACTTACACTTGTCACCACAAGACAACTGTGGCCACAGTACTTACACTTCTTACCACAACACACCAGCCAGCCACAGTACTTACACTTGTCACCAGAACACACCTGTCGACATAGTACTTACACATGTAACCACAACGCACCTCCAGCCACAGTACCTACGCTTGTCACCTCAAAACACCTGTAGACATAGTACTTACACTTGTCAACACAAGACACCTGTACACACAGTACTTACACTTGCCACCAAAACACAGCTGTAGACACAGTACTTACACTTGTCAATACAACACACCTGTAGACAAAGTACTTACACTTCTTACCACAACAAACCTATAGCCACAGTACTTACACTTGCCCTTACAACACAACTGTAGACACAGTACTTATACTAGTCATCACAACACACCTTTAGCCAGAGTACTTCCACCTGTCACTACAACACAGCTCTAGCCACAGTACCTAAGTTTCCCACCACAAAACACCTGTAGACACAGTACTTACACTTGTCACCACAAGACAACTGTAGCCACAGTCCTTACACTTGTCACCAGAACACACCTGTCGACATTGTACTTACACATGTAACCACAACACACCTCCAGCCACAGTAGCTACACTTGTCACCACAAAACACCTGTAGACACAGTACTTACACTTGTCAACACAACACACCTGTACACACAGTACTTACACTTGCCACCACAACAAACCTGTAGCCACAGTACTTACACTTCTTACCACAACGCACCTATAGCCACAGTACTTACACTTGCACTTACAACACACCTGTAGACACAGTACTTACACTAGTCACCACAAAACACCTGTAGACAAAGTACTTACACTTGTCACCACAACACAACTGTAGCCACAGTACTTACACTTGCCACCACAACACACCTGTGGACATAGTACTTACACTTGTAACCATAACACACCTGTAGCCACAGTACTAACACTAGCCACCACAACACACCTATAGCCACAGTTCTTACACTTGCCCCTACAACACACCCGTAGGCACAGTACTTACACTAGTCACCACAAAACACCTCTAAACACAGTACCTAAGCTTGCCAGTACAGCACACCTGTAGCCACAGCATTTACACTAGCCACTACAGCACACCTGTAGACACGGTACTTACACTCCTTACCACAACACACCTATAGCCACAATACTTACACTTGCCCTTACAACACACCTGTAGACACAGTACTTACACTAGTCACCACAACACATCTTTAGCCAGAGAACTTACACTAGTTACCAGACCACACCTGTAGACACAGTACTTACACTTGTCACCACAACACACCTATAGCCATAGTAACTACGCTTCCCCCACAAAAAACCTGTAGACACAGAACTTACACTTGGAACCACAACACACCTGTGGACATAGTATTTACACTAGTCACCACAACACATCTTTAGCCAGAGAACTTACACTAGTTACCAGAACACACCTGTAGACACAGTATTTACACTTGTCCCCATAACACAACTGTAGCCACAGTACTTACACTAGCCCCCACAACACACCTCTAGCCACAGTACTTACACTAGCCACCACAACACACCTGCAGCCACAGTATTTACACTTGTCACCAGAACACACCTGTCGACATTGTACTTACACATGTAACCACAACACACCTCCAGCCACAGTACCTACGCTTGTCACCACAACACACCTGTAGACACAGTACTTACACTTGTCAACACAACACACCTGTAGCCACAGTACTTACACTTCTTACCATAACACACCTATAGCCACAGTACTTACACTTGCACTTACAACACACCTGTAGACACAGTACTTACACTACTCACCACAAAACACCTGTAGACACAGTACCTACACTTGTCACCACAAGACAACTGTGGCCACAGTACTTACACTTGCCACCACAACACACCTGTGGACATAGTACTTACACTTTTGTATACATAACACACCTGTAGCCACAGTACTTACACAAGCCACCACAACACACCTATAGCCACAGTTCTTACACTTGCCCTTACAACACACCTGTAGACACAGTACTTACACTAGTCACCACAAAACACCTGTAGACACAGTACTTACACTTGTCACCACAAGACAACTGTGGCCACAGTACTTACACTTGCCACCACAACACACCTGTGGACATAGTACTTACGCTTGTAACCATAACACACCTGTAGCCACAGTACTTACACTAGCTACCACAACACACCTATAGCCACAGTTCTTACACTTGCCCTTACAACGCAACTGTAACCACAGTACTTACACTAGCCACTACAGCACACCTGTAGACACGGTACTTACAATTCTTACCACAACACACCTATAGTCACAATACTTGCACTTGCCCTTACAACACACCTGTAGACACAGTACTTACACTACTCACCAGAACACACCTTTAGCCAGAGTACTTACAATAGTTACCATAACACAACTGTAGACACAGTACTTACACTTGTCACCACAACACACCAATAGCCACAGTAACTACGCTTGCCCCCACAAAACACCTGTAGACACAGAACTTACACATGCAACCACAACACACCTGTAGCCACAGTACTTACACTTGTAACCAGAACACACCTGTCGACATAGTACTTACACATGTAACCACAACGCACCTCCAGCCACAGTACCTACGCTTGTCACCACAAAACACCTGTAGACACAGTACTTACACTTGTCAACACAACACACCTGTACACACAGTACTTACACTTGCCACCACACCACACCTGTAGATACAGTACTTACACTTGTCAATACAACACACCTGTAGACAAAGTACTTACACTTCTTCCCACAACAAACTTACAGCCACAGTACTTACACTTGCCCTTACAACACACCTATGGACACAGTACTTATACTAGTCACCACAACACACCTTTAGCCAGAGTACTTACACTAGTTACCACAACACACCTGTAGACACAGTACTGACACCTGTCACTACAACACAGCTCTAGCCACAGTACCTAAGTTTCCCAACACAAAACACCTGTAGACACAGTACTTACACTTGTCACCACAAGACAACTGTAGCCACAGTCCTTACACTTGCAACCACAACACACCTGTGGACATAGTACTTACACTTGTAACCATAACACACCTGTAGACACATTACTTACACTAGCCACCACTACACACCTGTAGACACAGTAATTACACTTGTCTCCACAACACACCTGTCGACACAGTACTTACACAAGTTACCACAACACACCTGTAGACAGAGTACTTATACTTCTTACCACAACACACCTGTAGAAAAACTACTTACACTTGCCACCACTATACACATGTAGACACAGTACTTACAGTAGTCACAACAACACACCTTTAGCCAGAGTACTTACACTTGTCACCACAAAACACCTATAGACACAGTACCTACACTTGTCACTAGAACACACCTGTAGCCACAGTACCTACACTAGCAACCACTACACACATGTAGCCACAATAATTGCACTTGTCAGCACAACACACCTGTAGCCACAGTACTTACACTTGCCACCACAACACACCTGTAGCCAGAGTACTTACACTTGCCACCACAACACACCTGTAACCAGAGTACTTACACTTGTCAATACAACACACCTGTAGCCACAGTACTTACACTTCTTACCACAACACACCTGTAGACACAGTACTTACACTAGTCACCACAACACACCTTTAGCCAGAGTACTTACACTAGTTACCACAACACACCTATAGACACACTACTTACAATTGTCACCACAACACACTTCTAGCGACAGTACCTACGCTGGCCACCCCAAAACACCTGTTAACATAGTACTTACACTTGTCACCATAACGCACCTGTAGCAACAGTACTTACACTAGCCACCACTACACACCTGTAGCCACAGTAATTACACTTGTCAGCACAACACACCTGTAACACAGTACTTACACTTGTGACCACAACACAACTGTAGCCACAGTACCTACGCTTGCCACCACAACACATCTCTAGCCACAGTACCTACACTTGTCACAACAACACATCTGTAGCCACAGTACTTAAACTAGCCAGAACAACACACCAGTAGCAAAAGTACTTACACTTTCACCAAAACACACCTGTAGTCACAGTACCTACACTTGTCACCACAACACATCTCTAGCCACACTACTTACATTTGTCACCACAACACAACTGTAGCCAAATTACTTAAACTAGCCAGAACAACACACCAGTAGCAAAAGTACTTACACCTTCACCACAGCACACCTGTAGACATAGTACCTACACTAGTCAAAACAACACACCTTTAGCCAGAGTACTTACACTTGTCACCACAACACACATATAGACACAGTACTTACACTTTTCACCAGAACACACCTCTAGCCACAGTACCTACGCGTGCGACCCACACAACACACCTATAGCCACAGTTCCTACACTTGTCAACACAACAGACCTCTAGCCACAGTACCTACACTTGTCACCACAACACCCCTGTAGCCACAGTACCTACACTAGCCACCACTACACACCTGTAGACACAGTAGTTACACTTGTCGACACAACACACCTGTAGCCAGAGTACTTACACTTGTTACCACAACCGCCCTGCAGACACAGTACATACACTTGTCACCACAACACACCTGTAGACACAGTACCTACATTTGTCACCCCAATACACCTGTAGACAAAGTACATACACTTCTTCACTCACAACACAATCTATAGCCACAATACTTGCACTTGCTCTTACAACACACCTGCAGACAGTAGCACTTTACACTACTCACCAGAAACACACCCTTGAAGCCAGAGTACTTACAATAGTTACTATAACACACCAGTAGACACAGCACTTACAATTCTGTCACCACAACACAACTAATAGCCACAGTAACTACGCTTTGTTCCCCACAAAACACCTGTAGACACAGAACTTACAATACAACCACCACAAACACAATCTGTAGCCTGTTGTACTTGGCTAATTTGTAACCATAACACAACTCCACGATTATTAGGCACTTACACATGTAGCAATAATGTAAAAACTGAAACGAAGCACAACAA